AAAAATAGATGAAGATTGGTTTATAGCAGGTGATCCAGAAATGAATAAGTTGATGAGAAACACAAGTCCACAATCACTTGGGACCCGCAGGCTTAATATTAGCAATGGAGTGGCCCATATGAAGCAATTGTCTGGACAGTTGTGCTATCGCTGAAGAAGAGAGGTTGGTTTCGACATGTCTGACTGGCTTGGAAGTAAAACACAAATAGAGAAAACATAGAGTTTTAAAGCTACAAAGGATCTTTGCAGGAATTTGGTAGATGAAGAGACAGACTTGACCAAAGATAAACAATTTGCCCAGAGCTGGGATGGGAGGCAGAGCTCAGGAACACCGTGCATTGCTCATGTCATCTTGAAGCTTCACGATGCATTTGTTCCATGGGCTTTCTCAGGTTCAGCATTATTCGTGGTTTTTATCCCAGTGAACAAGAAGTGAATTAAGAACTGGTATAAAGGAAGGTTCTATTAGGAGCAGAACTGCCCAGGTAAAGGTAGAGGGCCAAGTGAGACCCGTGGGGTTTGGTAACGTGAGGAATTTCATAGAAGAGGCGGAACTGTAATTGGGAAATAAGAAAGAAGAGACTAGGGATAGTCATTATCTTCATTATTGTTATCAAGTGATTATATGGCATTTCATCTTCAAAACCTTTTGCAGACTTTAAGTGTCAAGTGCAGTCATAATCTAAATTGCACAGATTGTCTGGAAAAGTAGGGTGTTGAAGTTTGGTGAAACATGCAGGAAATGTTTAGAATTCTCTTATTCTGAAACATTGCTAGAGTATGCTTTATTCTAAAGCAATGGTCTCCCTTATATATTAATTAAAAAATAGAAGCCTTGTTATGATGTCTTCCTAACCCAGCTGTTCACGCTCCTTACTTGTGGGTGAGGAAATGGACAAAATATGGGAAATGTAGTTCTTACCTTGAAGAGTGCATGAAAGAAACACTTAGCGTTTTTGAGGTTCACTTTAAATGCAGCCTTTGAAAATTAATACATCCCAGTGTAATCGACGGTGGATGCTTTTTTTCCCCCTTGAGACTCTCATGTGTACCTGTCCTATAAGAGCACATTTTGACGTTTTAAAAAGTATTATGTTGATATAATGCTTGCAGTGTTTTTATTCTTCAAAATGTAAATCTCTACATCAAAATTAAAATATAGCAGGAGAGGAGCAAAAAAGCAGCACTGGTATATCCCACACCTAAGGTTAAATGAGACAAGCCAGAATCATTATAGGGGACATCTTTTACTTAAATGTCTATTTCTTTATTCTCTCATGCACAGAACAGTTCACTCCTGCCTTTTAAAGATTGAGCATTGTAATATTCTTGCTTTTAGGGCTAGAATTTTTCCTTTCCACATAGCACCTGTATTTTCTGGAGCAGTTCAGGGATGGAAGAAATGACACTTTCATTCTTGTAATGAGGCACCATTAACCAAAGGCCTTTTGTAAGGGTGTAATTTCAAACTTCATTACAGACTAAGGCAGCTACACAACCCATTACTTGGAGAAAATGTGCTTCTTTTGTGACTCTCCAATGAGCCTTACATTTTTAATGCACCTTGTTAGATTATTTATGAAATAGTATCACCACTAGAGGGCATCTGTCTTTGAAACCCGTGAATATTAACTGACGGGGTTTCATGGCCCTCACTTTAGATAAACTTTTCCATTAGAAAAACAGAAGTTAAAGGTACATGCCATAATCTGAAATTCTTTCTGATTCAGTTTACATTACTAGCAAGTTACCAGAACTTTGCTTGGTCATGTCTTAGGAATTTTATTATTTTATCATCAGAGTAAAGTCTGAGTATGAAGATAACCAGCTGAAGAGAGAGTGAGTGTATACTCATTGTGCTTCCATTTAAATGTCTACCTGCTGGTAGGCTTGACCTCTGAAAAATATTCAAAAATGCTGAGTTCCTGATTTAAAAAATTTAGCATTGTGAAATTTAGTCCTGCCCATGAACTATGCATCAGGTTAGCTCAGAATGGAAGCTATAGTCAAAAGACTCCAGGGTTAGAAAGAGATCTGGGTTTTATTTTATTTTATTTTTTTAAAGATTTACTTATTTTTTAGAGAGGGTGAGGGCCAGCATGCGAGTGTGGTGGGAGGGGCAGAGGGAAAGAGAGTCTTGAGCAGACTCTGCACTGAGTGCAGAGCCTGACGTGGGGCTCGATCTCACAACCCTGAGACCACCACCTGAGCTGAAACCAAGAGTCGGACGCTTGACCAACTGTGCCCCCAGATGCCCTCGGGACCTGGGTTTTATGTGTCTTTCTGGGCAATTTGAGGCGCGGGTTCCTGTGGGAGGAGAGTAACTCCTGCCAGCCTGACCGCTTCCTGTTGGGTGTCTCTTCCTAACTCCGGGTCCCTCAGTCCTGGGAGTGTCCAGGTCTGCTCCCCCACCAGACTGGTGCATGATGAGGTAGAGTGGCTCAGAGATGGTAGGTTCTGGTTGTGAAAATACATATATGTGTGTGTATGTATACGCATATGGCATTTTCAAGTGCGAGTGTTTGTTTCAAAGAATGATTAATAATTATGACCTCAAGTAGTATACCTTCTCCTATTTTCCTTTAGATAATTCTAATATTAAGGTCCATAGCAGTGTATATTCAGTTTTAATTTCCTCTGTACATGCTGTGAGAGAGGGAACTATGTTCTTGAATCTGTGAAACATGCCTTGACTGTATCCTGTTAAGTTTCACATAACAGCCTTATTCCTTCAATGAGGAAACACAGTTCAAAGGCTTGAGTGTGTTACAGATCATTTTTTTACCTAACACGATTTCTCTTTAGAGGGATTTAAATAGTTGCTTCTTCATAAGGTACTGGCCTTTTAAACTTGACACTGTCTTTAATTTATATGTAATGGACGCCTGGGTGGCTCAGTTGTTAAGCATCCGCCTTCGGCTTAGGTCCTGGCTCCTTGCTTAGCGGGGAGCCTGCTTCTCCCTCTGCCTGCCGCTCCCCCGGCTGGTGCTCTCTCTCTCTCTCTGGCAAATATATAAATAATAAAATCTTAAAAAAAAAGTTATATGTAAAATGAATATTTGTTACTCATCTACTGATTTGCATTTATAAGCAAATCTAAATACCCACCTCACAGTCTATACTAAGTGCTGTTAGCAGGGCAATCAAAAGGTATCTGTTCAGAGAGAGAAATGTCTCCAGACTTGTCCGTCTGTTCTTTTCATTTTGTTTTGAAGTTGTTATGCTCATGTAGTCACAGTTTTGTGATGATGACCTTGCAGTTCCATGTTACCCTCTCACACCCTGGGAGCGTCAGTGTCTGAAATGAATACTCTGGAGCAGCTTCCTGAAGAACTTACATAAATTAAAAGTAAAATATTCAGGGGCGCCTGGGTGGCTCAGTCGGTTAAGCATCTGCCTTCGGCTCAGGTCATGATCCTGGGGTCCTGGGATCAAGTCCCATGTCACTTGTGCTCACTTGCGCGCGCGTGCTCTCTTTCTCTGTGTCAAATAGATAAATAAAATCTTAAAAAAATGTTAAATATTCAAATAACAGGTGTTTGATTTTTTTTAAAAAATTTTATTTATTTATTAGAGAGCAAGAAGGCACAAGCAGGGGGAGTGGCAGAAGGCAGCTCCCCACTGAGCAGGGAGCCAGACCCGGGGCTCGATCCCAGGACCCCTGAATCATGACCTTAGCTGAAGGCAGATGCTTAACCGACTGAGCCACTCGGGTGTGCCCGGGTGTTTGATTTTTGCAAGGAATACTCCCGGCTTCACAGCATCTTTGCAGCACATTCCAGACAGTATTGCTTTAACTAGATATTTCTTCCCCATCTCTCCCCTGCAGCACCTTACCCTTGTTATTGGAAAGACTTGATAACAGCAGAAGTCCAGAACTTCTGCAGTGTGGTCCATGGATGGGTATTGTTAGGTTCATACAGTATCTTAACATTCAGCATTGGTTGTCAATACTTAAAAACTGGAAGAGTTCACTTTAAAAGTCCAAATTTGTAGGTTATCTTTAGAAAATGAGAGGATTTGGAAACACTGTCCTGTGATCTCATATGGCAGGTGCCTGTGCCCCCCAGTACCCCCATGCTGGATTTCCCTTTCCCTTATTTACATTTCCTGCCGGGCCCCTGACGGCATTGAGTGTTCGCCTTACTGCCTCTTCCCCATGTCAGCAGCCATCCTCAGAATGCTGTGTGCCTGCTCACCTGCTCACCTGCTAATGCATGCCACCACTGTCAGCTTTCTGTACTTCTAGTTTTCTGTCTTAAAAATGGGAATTTGTGTGTGTGTGGGGGGGCGCCTGGGTGGTGCAGTCAGTTAAGTGTCCAACTCTTGATTTCAGCTCAGGTCATAATCTCAGGATTGTGAGATCGGGTTCTGTGCTGAGCCTGCATAGGATTCTCTCTCTCTCTCCCTCTCCTTCTGCTCCTCCCCCCAGCCCCTTCACTCTCTCTCTCTCAAAAAAAAGGGGGGGGGATTATATCTGGCACTTATTGTCCATGAAAACTTTGACAATTCGTGTGAATTTTTAAGAACAGTTCAAGTAAAATTATTTATTGGTACTTTGATTAGTACGTTTTTTAAAAAAGATTTTGTTTCATGATTTAAGATCAGCCCTATAGCAGACACCGCTGTTTCTTGAGTCAAAACTTAAATATGCTTTAAATGAGTTTTTTGTTTGCCATGCCTATTTCTTAGAAGATTTTAAGCCAAAGATAGAAGCCTGAAACTGATATATACTTACATATTTATGTATAAATATTCTAATACATATATATGTGTGTGTACACACTTACCTACTTATGGTTATGCTAATCCAGTTAATACATTCTTAGCTTTAAGTGATTTTAATAAAATTGCTTCTTAACTAACTTTAAGTTTCTTAATAACTTTACAATAATTTATTTGATAACTTCTTAACTTTTAAAAGCATGTTTAGGATGAACCGAAAAATAGAGCACCACATGTGTGAATGTTAACTTGAGATGAATGGTCTTTCCTTTCAGAATACGGCAGGAGAATGATATGGTTGATTCAGCGCCTCAGTGGGAAGCTGTATTAAGAAGACAAAAGGAAAAAAATCAGGCGGACCCCAACAACAGACGATCCAGACATAGATCTCGCTCGTATGTGGACTCTTTTTATACCTTTATTCAAAAAGCACTGAGCTTGAGGTAGCATGCAGATTCTAGGGCAGATGGGGCTGTCTCTTTGAGGTCTTCTAAAGTGATTTTAGTTCCACCATGATTATCCCATTGTTTGTTTGTCATTATTTCCCTTCTTACGTTTGTGACATTCATTAAATCTATCGGAAGCCATAGAAGTTGGAGCATTGCCAAAACAAAATGTTGAAAACAAGGCTATCAAGACTCTGTTTTGTTTTGTTTTGTTTTTTAAACAAAGCATACATTCAACCAGGTAAGTAGGAACAGTCTTTGTTCTGGAGCCTGGCTGTTGGCAAAAATACCTGCTGCTTCTCTCAATTTGAGTCTTCAGAATTCTCTGAAGTCTTGTTTGAGATTGAACCAGATGTGAATATCTTCCTATTAAATTACCATTTGTGAGCAGTAGGCAGTGAGTGATTCATTACACCCCAATGTTGGGATTTGCCTGTGCCTTCTGTTGCTAGGCAATGCCATGTGTGAGCACAATTACCCCGTGATGATGAGATTGCCAGTCCCCCAAATTAATTTTCTTTTGAGCTGATAAAATTTCTAGGTTTTTTTTTTTTTTTTTAATGTGTGCGTCATTCAGATTTAGACAGCCCCATCTCCACAGCCCTTCCCAAAGCATACCTTTTAAGTATGAGCTGTGACTAACTCTCCATCCCTTTGTGATCCTAGGTGATTAGATGTCTGGGGTTGCTTATTTGTGGAAGGAGGGATTAGTGTCTCAGATAGGGTGGCGGAAGGATGCCAAGGAGTGGATGCAGAGACAAACTGTGGGTAGGTGGAGGGGTGGATCCAGGGAGCCAGGCAACAGGGTGTTCTGGTTAACAGAGGCTAGGAGAGGACTCGGAAGATAAACCCCAGAACCCCTGTGGCTCTAAGGGATGCTTTTCAGTCTTGGATGCTTACTTTTTAATTAGAAGTTATCCTAGAGTGTGGTTTTGTTTTTATCGGTGGTACATCATAATGAGTGATGTCTGTTTCTTTTCTAATAGAAAATTCTCAAGTAGTGACTATGCAGTGTACCAGACCCTTAAAGATTTAATTTATTTGTTGCTCCATAATGTTTTTGTTCTGGAACCTAATTAAAATATACAATTTAAAGCAGAAGTTAATAAATTTTCCTTTGTCTTGAATACTACCTTCCCCCAGCTCCATTTATAAAAGAGAGGTTTAGAACTGGAAGAATCAAGACCTCATGGTTGACAGTTTAACCAAAAGGCACAGAATCCCAAGATCAGGATGCAGCATAGTCATGGGTAAATCTTTTGCAACCACGCTTTTACCTTTCCATGTGGAATCTTCTTCTCTGAGGGACTTGTAATACACAAGGTTTGGTGACTTGGCATTAAATCTTAAAAACAGCATTTAGGGGCGCCTGGGTGGCTCAGTTGGTTAAGCGTCTGTCTGCCTTCAGCTCAGGTCAGGGTACCAGGGTCCTGGGATCGAGTCCGGTGTGGGGCTCCCTGCTCAGTGCAGAGCCTGCTTCTCCCTCTGCCATTCCTTCTGCTTGTGCTCTCTGGCTCTACCTCTCTGTCAAATAAATAAATAAAATTAAAAAAAAAAACGGTTTAAAAACAGAATTTAGTTTTTCTCATAATTTCTGAAGCATTCTAAATTCAATTAAATGTAATAGTACATTTCATTTATTAAAAAGGGAAAAGTAAAATAAAATTGGGAAAAGTTTTCTATATAAATTTTGAAGAAGTCAAAAAACATTACTGGAGGCAATATTTAAAATTTTTGAGTAATAGTCCATTGTATGATTATACCACAATTTGTTTATCCATTCTCCTCTTGATGGGCATATGGGTTGTTTCCACTTTCTGCTATTGTGTTAAAAGTTTCTATATACATTCTATACAAGTATATCTGTGGAGTATGTTATCTTATGCCCTGGGATCAATACCTGAGTGGAATTGCTGGTTAGAGGATATTTCTAACCATATTAAATGTAATAATAAACTACCAAAATGATTTCCGAGAAGGCTGTATCATTTTATACCCCCATTAGCGGTGTATGAGAGTTCTAATTCTGCCCCATTCTTGCAAATACTTAGTTCTGTCTTATTAATTTTAGCTATTCTGTTGGGCTTGAAGTGATATCCCATTATAGTTTCAATTAACATTTCCCTGATGACTAATGATGTTAACCACATTTTCCTGTGCTTTTTGGTTATTCATGTATCTTCCTTTTTAAAGTGTTTAAGTTTTTGCCCATTTTAATTGGATTGTTTCTTTTTTATTACTCGTAGGGTTCTTTATGTAGTCTGGATATAAGTTCTTTTTCAGATATGTATATGATGTATATTTTCTTCCTAGCTGTGGTTTGCTTTTTCATGTTCTTAACATTGTTTTTTGATAAACAGACGTTTTAAATTTTGATGAAGACCAGGATATCATTTTGTTTTCATTTATAGTTAAGACTTTTTTACATCTTAAGGAATATTTGCCTACCCAAAGTCACAAAGATGGTCTCATACCTTTTTCTAGCAGGTTTATAGATTTTGCTTTTTATTTAGGTCTGTCATCCCTCTAGAATTAATTGTTCAGTATGTATGAGGTAGAGGTAGATACTGAGAAGTTTTTTTCCAGGTGCTTATGCAGTATTCCAGGTCCATTTGTTAAAAAGACTATCTTCATTGAAATGCCTTGCAACCTCTGTTGAAATTCAGTTAACTGCTTATATGTGGGCCAATTTTATTTCATTGATCTCTTTGTTTATTCGTAAGCCACCATGTTGTCTTGGTTACTGTAGCTTTATAGTAAGACTTGAATCAGGTAGTATAAATTCTCCAATGTTGTTTTTTTTTTTTTTGTTTTCAAGATTGCTTTAGCTGTTTTAGGTCTTCTGTAGTTCTATATGAATTTTTGAATCAGCTTGTTAGATTTTACCAAAAAAAAAAAAAAGACTTTAGGCTGATGTTGAATCTATAACTCAATTTGGAGAAGATTCTTAACCATTTATTTAAGCCTCTTAACATCTTTCAGCAATGTTTCTTGGATTGCAGTACGGAGTTATTGCATTTATTTTGTTACATTTAATCCTAAATGTTTAATATTTTTAATGGTACTGAACTATACTTTAAAAATGCTATTTTCCAATTGTTGGTTAGTAGATAGAAACACAAATTATTTTTTTTATTTTATTATGTTAATCACCATACATTGCATCGTTAGTTTTCGATATAGTATTCCATGATTCATTGTTTGCGTATAACACCCAGTGCTCCATGCAGTACGTGCCCTCTTTAATACCCATCACCAGGCTAACCCATCCCCCCACCGCCCTCCCCTCTAGAACCCTCAGTTTGTTTCTCAGAGTCCATAGTCTTTCATGGTTCGTCTCCCCCTCCGGTTTCCCCCCTTCATTTTTCCCTTCCTACTATCTTCTTTTCTTTTTTTTTTTTAATACATAATGTATTATTTGTTTCAGAGGTACAGATCTGTGATTCATCAGTCTTACACAATTCACAGCGCTCACCATAGCACATACCCTCCCCAATGTCTATCACCCAGCCACCCCCTCCTCCCACCCCCCACCACTCCAGCAACCCTCAGTTTGTTTCCTGAGATTAAGAATTCCTCATATCAGTGAGATCATATGATAAATGTCTTTCTCTGAACAAATTATTTTTATATTAATATTGTATCTTGCCACTCTGCAACCTTGTTAAATTGATTTCATATCTCTGGAAGCTTTTTAAAAAAAATTTCTTAGGGTTTTTCACATTTACAATCCTATTGTTTGTGACCAGAGACCACTTTCCTTTATTTCTAATCTTTTTTCTTTTTATTTCTATTTTTTCTCTTAATACGCTGGCTATATCTTCCAGTACAGTGTTGAATTACAATGTTGAATAGAAGTAGTAAGAACAGAGACCTCCTTAGCTTGTTCTCTTTCTTAGGGGGAGAACATTCAGTATGTCATATTAAGTGTGATGCTTGCTGTAAGATTGAGGAAGATCATTTTGTTTCTAGTGTAAGAGTTTTTATCATGAATGAGTTTGAATTTTGTTACAAGCTTTTTCTACATCTGAGATGACTTTATTTTGTTAGTGGGAGAATTACAGTGATTCAGTTTTGAATGATACACCCTTGCATTCCTGAGATAAACCCTCAGGGTCCTGATGTATTATCCCTTCTATATATTGCTGGATTCTATTTGATATTATTTTGTTAAGAAATACTGGTCTGTAATTTTCTTGTATCTTTGTCAGGTTTTTGGTAACAGGTTTTTACTGGTCATCTAAAATAATTTGGCAAGTGTTCATCTTTTCTCCATTTTCTGAAATAGTTAATGTAAAAAATTAGCATTATTCCTTCCTTAAATATTTGATATAATTCACCAGTAAAACCATCTCTGCCTGGAATTTTCTTTATGGAAAGTTTCAAATTACAATCTCAGTTTCTTGAACAGATATTGATTGATTGGGCCATTCTGATTTTTACTTGTTACGTATAGGTTTAAGTATTCTTTAAAAAGAATTTGTTCATTTTATCTAAATTATCAAATCTTTTAGCAAAAATTTTTCATAATAATTCTTTAGTATCTTTTTAACATCTGTTGTGATATCACCTCTTTTATTCCTGATGTTGATAATTTGTGTTTTCTCTTTATTTTTCCTTTAATCTTTCTTTTCAGAGAATTAACTTTGGGTTTGTTGATTTTCTTTGCTGTCTGTTTCGTTGATTTCCACTCTTTATTACTTCCTAATATTCATTTTGTCTTTTATTTGTTCTTTTTTCATCTTCTTAAGGTCACACTCATAAACCTTTCTCCCTTTAAATATAAGTATAAAGTTGTAAATTTCCCCCAAGCCCTATAGTTTTAACTGTATCTCACATATTTTTAATAAGTGTTTTTATTATCATGTAGTTCAAAATCATTTTTAATTTTTTGTAATTTCTTTGACCCTAGACTTTTTTTAGTAGTGTGTTGATTAATTTCCAAATAT